TTTATCATCCATCTATCCCCCCCCTCTCTCTCTCTCTCTCTCTCTCTCTCTCTCTCTCTCTCTCTCTCTCTCTCTCAGGTTGGAATTGGAGGGGGACTGGGAGGAATGTTACTCATGTAGGAAATTCTCAAAAATAAAAAAAAACACCAATTGGGCATCTGTTGATTACCCCGAAGATAAAATTGCTACTACTGCACCACACCAATAGCCACAGATTGCTGGGTTAGTCATTGCTGTTTATGATCCTTCACAGCTGGGTAGGATCTCTGATTGATTTTTCTCCCCTGACAGATGGAATAGTATCTTCTGAGACCATGAGAGCTAGTCTTCAGGAAGGAGGCTTCCGGGTCAGCTCCAACTCCATTGCCCCAAGTCCTGTGTCTGAAGTGTAGTCTGTCTTCAGCAATATGGCCTTACGTTCAAGTTCTGGCAGGCAATCAAGGGCTGTGATAACAGCCTGTGTAATTTAGGAGTCTCTTTGAATACCCTGACCAACAACTCAAAGGGAGGTTTCTCCTGCTGGAAACTGTTTTCTGTTATATAGCCTTCACTAATATATATGCACTCATATGTTTATTGTATCTGTGGGACTCTGAACAAATACATTCACTTCTGAATTCCATAGCATCTAAGTGTTAAGCATTATTTATCTATCCTCTTACTCCCCCTTTATAACCCTCTCTTCTCCCACCCCAGTTAAAGTACCCCTCATTTCCCAATTCTCTCTTAATAAGCCTGCCTCCTCCTAGTCCCATGTCTCCAGCTTTCTTCCCTTTACTCCATTGTTCCTTTCCATTTTCCTAGCTTCTGAGGTTACATCAGGATATACACAACCATCTAGGCATTTAGAAATAAGATCCACAAATTAGAGAGGAAAATATATCACTTGTTTTTCTGAGTCTATGGTACTTCACTTAGTAGAATAGTCTCTTGTTCCATCTTTTTACCTGCAAATTTCATGATTTTACCACTGAGCAGAACTCCATTGTGTAAATGGACCACATTTTTTATTATCTAGTCATCATCTGAGGGATTTTTAGGTTGTTCCAATTATTAGTTATTGTGAAAGGAGCAGCAACAAACAAAGCTATGCAAGTAACTCTGTAGTAGGATGAGACTGCTGGGTATATGCCAAGGAGTGATATGACTGGATCATATGGGAGATTTTTAATTTTTTAAAAAATTCTCCAGGTCATAAGGAATCAGAGTTTTCCAGACAGCTGATCAGTTACTTATATGAACTCTCAATGGTGACAGCATGCACAAATCCTATGCAAGCTCAACCCAGACAAAATCCAAGCCTAGACATGGGGAAGTGGGTAAGAAATTCCAGCCCAGCCTAAGGAACTTTCGGCAATTGATGAATGCTGAGAGGGGAAAGACAGCGTCTTATAGGGATGGAACTTTTGGTTGGTCCAGTAGATGCATATTTGGGAACACAAATCAGAC